CACCCGTTCTCTTCTAAGTCTGCCATTGGCGTAATCTTCTAACAATGCCAGCGCATGCATTATGTTATGTTGCGCACGAATGTGATCGCGGTATTTATGTGTTGTCAGCAATGACACTGATTGTTTCACACCATGTCCAAATGATCGTGATATTCACGACCACTACTTATCCATTTACATTTCATAAGCTGCGGCACATAGATAAAAATGTAGATGAAGTTAAGATTTGAGTTGGAATAAATATTTTACTTATATATTTATTCACTACTACAAATATGTGACTGAATAAGTGAAATTAAATGTACGGTGTATGACTCACTAACAAGGAATTATTATTTAGCCTATGTACTGATGCCACTCACGTTATTGCTCACCCTCTTCAGTCGTATTTTTTTCTCCAAAATCTTCGCACACGTGGGACAGAGTTGGCGTACATATGCGCACATTCTGCCGTCAAATTTGTTTCCGTAGATCGCAACGTTTGCGTAGAAAGAGGCGTACGCATCTTTTACGTTCCATTTTGTGCGTACGCAACGGTTATAAATGAGACTCCTGGTTATCAGAGCACACCACATGCTACTGTTTTGATAAATCATGGAAGCAATAAGCTCTGAAGTGACAGTGAAGAAAGAGACAGCTCAACAGCCAGAACATCTTTTGAAAGAGGAGATAGATTTTGCAATGCGACATGGTTATTAAACATAAGGATACGCCAAATTTATACAGACAACTGACTTTTTGGCGTCACAATAGGCATTTCATTAATATTTAAGGCACCCTACTAATCTGCTTACCAAATTCTCGACGTAAGCAAACGCCCATATAGCACCGACAAATGTTTGTCCAGACAAATGTTTCCCTCATCATCTAAGGCTTTGGTGATTATTGCGCATGCACCACATGATAGATAATACACTGTGACAGTCCTGTTTCCACATATCTAAACAGTTGGGCTGTTGAGGACATAAGCCTGTTTTCCACCTTCAGCTTGCAGAGGGTGCCATGAACTAGCATCTGTAAAGTGCAGTGTTTACGATGCGCTAACCTCTGGCTGTCAGGTAAGAAACCTTGTTGGTCTCGGACTGCAGCCTGGATATCTGTTTTGCTCTGGTCGGTGAGTCAACCCCCCCTCAGTTGGCTGGATGGAGCCTGACTGCGTGTCTTCTGAAAAACTGTCCTTTGGGGTGAGGTAGTAGGTTGTATAGTTTTAGGGTTACACCCTTCCTGTCAAATAACTATACAACTTACTGTCTTTCCTGAAGTGGCTGTAATGTCATCGCTGGACAGAAGCTTGAAACAGACCTGCCTGTTTCTGACCTCAACAGTCGTCAGGAAAACTGGATTTTCTTCCATTTTTAATGTTTCTTTCTTTTTTTAAGGAAATTTTAATAGCACCACTTAAACAGAACAGTGCTTCATCATCAGTTGACTCTGTGAGCTGGATTCTGCTCTTTTAATACAGAATTGCTGGGAGAAGAAAGAAACTTCAGTGCATTTTCAGATACAGTACTTGGGACAAAGTGGAAGATTTTTCTTGTGCACTAAGCTGGGCGTCGGGTTCAGGCCCTCGTTCCTCTTACTGATGTTCTCACAGGGTGAGGTAGTAGGTTGTGTGGTTTCAGGGTAGTGATTTTGCCCCATCAGGAGATAACTATACAACCTACTGCCTTCCCTGAAGGGCAGCGGTGCAGCAGGGCCCTGGGTGTTGGACAGCTGTGAATTCTCTTCATTCAGGCTGCTAAGAAAGATACACATGAAATGCCCTGTGAACTAGGACCACAGCTTTTTACAGTAAGTAAGTTTTCTTTGTGGGGTTAACCATGTTTTCTGCATAAAAGCGTATTTCTGCATTAAATTTGTGAACTGAAAATAAAAATTTTCAAGTCCCAAATTAATTAAGTGTTGTTTGTCTTTAGCACATCATGGTTCATTGTTGCTTGTTCCAGGATAAATTCTAGGAATAACGCAAGTTAACCTCTTAAACCAAGTTCTACATGGGAAAATAGGCTTACATATCAAAAATAAAACAACAAAATATAACACAACTACATGGCACTCTGCATACATGCTAACAAACAGCTATACTACAGAATACAAGTAAGTGTGCTCAAGTGCGACAGGAGAGGAGCGCTGCATTTAAATGCTTCTATAAATTAAATGAGATCCATAAACTCTAAGTGTAGATAAAATTACCTTTACAGCACATAGCTAACAGTGTAAATGAAAAAGGCTCAGGCAGAGGTATGGACATCAGGGAAAAAGCAAAATCTGTCCTCCATTATAGACATGGTACCTTTCTCAGCTCCCACCAGGCCAATGTGGCTGTGAGTTATAGCTTCTGTCTCTGGCTACTGTGTTAATTTACCCCTCTGAGCTCAGTCAAGAAGTCATCATAAAATAGTGGGTGGAATTATCACATATTTCTAACTCTATTTTAATCTATGACATGATCATGCATATGCCACTAATGTTAATGTACTGTATAACAGCTGGATGAGTTTTTCAATCAAACCAGTCAAAGCACAAGAAGATGTGAGCTATTTAGCCAAACACAGGTGCCTTTCAGTTTTAAAGTAGTTTGTAAAACCTGGAGTAGCTTAAAGTGTCCTCCCTGACATGGATTATCTGGTCAGCCTAATATATAAGTTTTTAGCTACTTCATACCCTTCAGTTGGGCACGTAAGTTGAAGAAAACTCGTAACACCATCTAGCGGCCATAAACGAAAGCTATGAATAGAAGGGTGGGAAGCTTCTTAAAAGGTTAAGTATTGGTAACTTGCAATCGATTTAATTCAGGAGGACCAGTGGCTGTACTATGAAGCGGGGTTACTGGCTTATCGGGGTAACTTGTCGGATTAAAGGTACCACAAGTTAAATGGACTAAATATTCGTTCACTTACATTTTGCCCAGACTACCTTAAATCCGACTAGTTACCCCGATAAGCCAGTAAAGCGGCTTCGTAGTACAGGCTGCAGGTAACGTTGCTTCCATCTAAATTGTAATATAAAGAGCTGAAGTTAATTGAAAATCAAAACACTGCGAGCTCCACAATTGACAATATAGAGTTGGTCTGGTCCTAGGATGTGGATAGCGCTCACCTACTTCAGTTAGATTCCAGCATTTTTTCCTCTCATAGTATTAAAGCTTTATATGGTTTATTAAAAAATAATGCCATCTTACATTATTTCTTGTTCGTCTCCTTGTTATCGTCGTAAGGACATTTTGTCATAAAATATATAAAAGTTTAATCAGTGCTGTTCACGTTTGATGTCGTCATGTGCCAAAAAGAAGACGGTTCTTCTAATAGTTAGTACTGATTTTATAAATTGCTTTTTTATGCTGTATGGTTTCATAGCATTCTTTCTCCGACGCAATGAACGCTTCGCTGTGTAAGCTTAAAAATTAGTGGGGACTCCAGTATAGCATACCTGTTGCATTAACTTTCGCGACATATCGGACGTTCACGTTTACTTTGAATTTAGGCCTACTAGCTGTTTTCTCTGCGATCATTGCATTGCGTAATTGACAATATAGAGTGAAGCGACCGAGACATTTAGACCTGCTTTGATGTGAAACGATATCTTTCAGTACCCTTTCATTGATAAACTCAAGTGCCAACTGTGCACTAAATGGAATCTAGCACTTGTAACCTTCGGTAGCGTGCAATCATTTTAAATGTTGACTACATCGAATAACTGCCAGCCGCCTATATAAGCACAATCGCGTTTAATTTATGCTTATTATTTACTGATAACTGATAACCGTTTCCAGTTAACGGTTTACTCCCTGGTTCTGCAAAATTGCAAACTGCCTCCTATATAACATCATACTAATTGACATTTCTGCCTGTAATCTGCATGTATTCTAATAGTGATCAACAGCCTGCTTATTTTATGCATCGATCGGTACCTCAAGAAGTGCGTTTATATTAGTGCTAAAATTACAGTAAAAAGCAGATTTCGGCTCGGATATTATTTAAAAATGTACTCATACTCAGGTGCCATTGTATATACGTTGTCTTAGGAATTTGACTATACTAATATGAGAACTAATTAAATTGATCATTTTTAGTTTTTCGTAGAACGAATTAAGCTCATTTATTTACTTATGATTCGGGTCTGGTGACACTGATTTTTTCTGCGCTTTGCATATCATATAAAACTATATTTTCTCTTTAATAAATCTTGCAGCTAGCTTGTTTGGAGTGAGCCCGGAGGATGTTTGTCTACCCATCATCCGTCCGGCCTACTTGGCTGGCGGTCGTTGAGGCTCTCAGTCCTCACCCATGATATGTCACGTGTATTTTAAGTTTTTATTTATGTCACTTAATTGTTTCCTCGCCAATATGATACTCGTCTTAAACAAAATATGTCCATCCATCCATCCATCCATCCATCTATCCATCCACACAACTAACCAACCGCTGATTCAGTACAATGTCGTGTTGAAATTCAACAAATTAATATATATTTGCAATAAAATTATAAGAAAATAAAAACAATACATTAACAAAAATTCTTGTCAGTTTCCGATTATTATAACGTAAAAAGGTATATGCTACCCACAATATATTCTGAAGTGCTTAAAGGATTTTGCACGTAGTAACTGAATTAAACGCTTAAACGTACTCATTATAAATATATAAAGGAAATGATACTTTGTGACGTTGTCTAAAATTAGCCAGCATTCATCATGAGCCCTGCTGGTTGCTGGAATTGGAAAAAAAAAAGAAGTTGACGTTAGTGGGCGGTCCTTCACCGGCCCTAGGTTTCCATTCGCTGGGTCTGGGGGTGTGTCGGGCGGGTGTGTACGTTCGTCTTGCAAATGATACCCGCGGCGTCACTTCCTGCGGCCGGTCGTCATTTTTGACAGCGGCGCGGTGCGGAGGAGGTAGGTGGTATCTGTGCGCCGGCAATAGCTGTTTCTCTGTCTTCCTAGTTTAACACTGACAAGTCTTTCGTGTTGGGAAACTGAATTTAAGGTAGATAATTTCATTATTATGTCACGTTGCATAATTTAGTATATTATTTGATAATTTCAAAATGCTATACCAGATAGGCCTATAATTGTGTTATAAGAATAAAGTGCACCGTATTTATGTTTTTAATGTTTGTAAATGAAAACGTGGTTTTACCGGTGTTATAAAGTATTCCAGGCTACAAAAAAGAGCATAGATTCCTTTAATCCTACGGAAATCGTGGCACATTACTGAATTAAAACGATATAAGTGAACACGTAAATATCGTGCTACGTGTCTGAGCGTGTTTCATGGTTTTGAGAATAACTGTTCAGTTGCTACAAAACCTTGGATTTCTCTTTTCGTATTTCATATTTTTGTGTCCATTAAGTGTGTCATTACAGTTTGATACATAGGCCTATAAATATGTAGCTCAAATAGGTATCTTTATTTTTGTGAATTTTGTGTATAGAGCGTTTGAGTAGTTTTCAGGAGACTCCTTTGGAGTGTGGATGCATCTTGAAGTTTGCATAATCTTCCTGCAAACATTACTTTGCGTACGTCCACCTATTAAAAGCCGGTGAGGAAAACCACTTGTGTCCTCTCCTTACTTTCGTGAGAACTAAACGTTTTGAAAGTTCGCTCTTTCGTAGATAATGCATTCCATACGACCGCAGAGGGCCTTGCATACTATTTTTGCATATTGTGCATCTTTGGTTGCGTTGTCCTACTGCAGGGGTGTCAGACTCCAGCCCCAGACGGCCGGAGCCCTGCACATTTTTGGGTTTCCCCTCATTTAACACACCTGATTCAACTCCTTCTGCTAATTATCACACAGGTCATGAGCTGAATCATTTGTGGTGGAATAGGGAAAGACCCAAGCTACACAGGGCTCCAGCCCTCCAGGAATGGAGTCTGACACTCCAGTCCTTCTGTGTTCTGAGACCATAGTAGGGTGTGCTGCACCTTATGCTATATGCCTTCTGTGTGGCCATGACTTGGTAGTAGTTATGTAAAATGAATGCATATACTAAATAGTACAGCTATATTCGTACTTTAACAATTTGAACCATGAATTCGTTGCTTAAGAATCACGGTCTGGTTTAGCCAAATAGGAACAAAGACCATAACACAAAAAAACTAACAGTACATAATGATCCAATATTGTCATGCAGTGCAGTTGACCACTGATACACAAACAGTGGCCTGTACTACGAAGCGGGGTTACTGGCTTATCGGGGTAACTTGTCGGATTTAAGGTACCACAGTTTAAATGGACTAAATATTTGCTCACTTACATTTTGCCCAGACTACCTTAAATCCGACAAGTTACCCCGAAAGCAGATAACCCCGCTTCGTAGTACAGGCCACAGATCAGTAAAGCAAGTATGAAATTACATTTATTGTGATTCATTATAATGCAATGCAGTGTGACTCTAGTTTGCTGTATATGTTAAGTTAGTAATGGAGCGTGCATAGACTTTTTCTTTAATCTTCTTTACCTCTTAGTGTTTGAAGTTCATTTGTAACGGAATGTGGTGAGTATGCCACCTGGTGGCAAAATGTCACCAGTAGCTTACCTTCCGTTTTTCCTTAAAACAAAAAAAAAGTTTTTATTGTTTGGAAACATTTATTTTATATTGTTTACTGTCCCCAAACTTGTAAATACTCAGTCACACAAAAATGTGAATCCTGAAGTTTTTCCTGCCTCCAGTAGTGCCATCTAATCTGCCCCTCTCAGATTGCAGGGTTTGCATTATTTGTGGGTTTACATTGATTTAGCCAAATTTCCTGGACGTTATACTTTCAAACACAAGAATTTGGAGTTAAAATTCTTTTTTCACAAGTGTGTGTCATGTGGGCGAACTAACAGCATGGATGTGTACAAATCCCAGGTAAATGGTAACAGTAACAGGGTCAGGGGCATGGGTGATGAGGAGGATTTGTACCTCCCCTCTAATATTTAATTTGGTTTCATTTGTCCCTCCAAAAAATAGAACTTTTCGTTGAAATTATTGTGTCCTCCTCTGATATCAAACTGCATCTTGTGCCATTACACACAGTGCACTACTTTGTTCCTGCCAAGCTTATGAAGTGACGCTTCAGTCCGCCTTGTGAGGAAAATGATCTCGGTGTTGTAGCTTAAACGACCACTTTCCTAAAGTGGATCTTTTGGATAAAGTCTCTTGTTATTGGCTGGAATTCATTTGGAAAACAGACAATGCTTTGTTTGTCCGGATGCATCTGCTGGGTGGGGAGAAAGGTTCTCACATACAATCATGCACTGTGCACACCTGGTTTTTATACTGTGCCACAGCCGAGAGTCTGTGGCATTTATCTGGCTGACCTAAGTCTGACCACAACTTTTTAAGAATCAGTAGACTGACAGGCTGCGGAATTGTACTGGGAGAGCAGCCTACCTTATTCGGGGATATGAGATACTGGGTGGTTCTGAAACAGGTCCGGTAGGAATGCCTAACGGGAATGAACGTGCATCAGCCTGTAGCTCCAAGTTCAGGGATGCCTTAGTCCATGTGATCGCATGCTTGGGTCTGCATGGTTTATTGTGTCACCTGTTCCTACCATTGCTCTTTTCACTTCCTGGTTTTGTTATATGTTACCGAGTGATTTCTTGTCCCAGCATAACATGTACAGGATGATCGTATCTAATGCACCCTTTATTTGTTATAAATGGAACCTTTTGTCTAGCTAAAGGAATGTGTGTGTGTTTTTTGAGGGGTTTGATGGGTGTCGACTTTATGCCTCTCCCAAATGCGGTATATCCCATTGTTTCATCATGGCAAAGTCAGTTCTTTTGTTGAATGTTCTGAATTCAGCTTCTTCTTAAGGGTTGCATAACTGCTCCCCCTTTGGCTCTTTTAATTGATTCTCCACATTTCCTTCGTCATGCGGACTCAGGTAAGTTGACGAGCAAGGTCTGCAGCCACAGTCATGTTTCTGAACCCATTCTCAGTGTGACATTTTCCTAACTTTGATCTGTAAAATGGTTATTCTCTAAATACTTTATTCTTAAAAACATCACTGTAGGTTGCGAGGGAATGTGTAGAACACAGTGATAGGGGGCAGTGTGAGGCTATGTGGGTTAGATCTTTGTACCTGTGATCAGAAGGTTGCCAGTTCAAATCCTGTCCTCAGCAGAATAGTCTCAAAGGAGATCAAAGATGGAATATGTGTAAAAAGCATTCCCTGGATGGTCATGTGAAGTTTATCTGTGTGATTTTCCACTGTGCCATCTTTCTTTTTTAGATGTGAAGCCTGTCTTTTTTATTACTCAGCTATTTGCTTTTGCCGGCCAAAGCCCTAGGGGGTGACAGTGGAAGGCGTGACACGTGTCGTAACAGCCTAAATGGCCAGGAGTTATCGGGATATCCACGTTACCATGTGGTATCCTGAGTGTTGTATGGTTGCTATCATATGAAGGGCATGCCAAAGCATTCCCACTCCTGGTGAACTTTTATCTCACATCAGGATGTGTCTCCTGCTGAATTTTGATTCTCCAGTGAGTGCATTTTCCTCCTGCTAAGGCTTTGTTGCTTTTTGTAGTTTTTAACCTGAAATCTGAAACCTACAATTATCTCAAACCCTATATTTTCTAGAATTCCCCTTTGAGATCAGTAAAGCTTATCTTTTATATATAAGAAAGAGACACTGGTTTTTCAGGCTGTCATTTCTATTTTTCTGGAGGTCAAGACAACCTCTTTAGTGAGTTAAGCGAAACTGTTGACAAAAAAGCACGTGTTTGGATTTTCAGGTTCCAGTAATGGGTGATTTCAGCATAGGTGAGAAATGTGCTTTTGATCTTGGATCACATGAAGAATGATCTTTATTTATACATTTTCACAGCTCTAGCATGTCCAGTCTATAGGCTGGTTCATACTTCTCTGCAGAAGAGCAACACTCACATATACCCTCTGTGTATGTGTACTTGGAAACGTCAAGGTCAAGCCATGTACTTTGCATGTAAAACCTCGGATTGCGAGCATAATTTGTTCCAGAAACGTGCTTGTAATCCAAAGCACTCGTATATCAAAGCGAATTTTCCCATTAGAAATAATGGAAACTCAGATGATTCGTTGCACAACCCAAAAATATTCATATAAAATGGTTAATACAAAATATAAATTAAAAATACATAAAACAAATTAACCTGCACTTTACCTTTGAAAAGAATCGTGGATGGTGTGAGGGAGACGAGAGAGAGGAGAAGAGGAGGGTTATTTTGTAGGACGACTTTCACTATAACTAACGGAATCACTGCTATCTGTCGGCTCACTGGAATCTTTTTCTTTTTGCGCGACTTTAACAAGGAACCCATCCAATGACAGCCGTTTTTCGATTTTGTGGAAATGTGGACTTTGCATTGTTGTTAAACAGATTCATTGCTCGCATTGCTACGGCCTTATTCGGGTGGTGCTTTTCTACTAAATTTTGACTATACGAGCGAGGCACGCCGACTGACACTGCATGGGAAATGATTACCCACAATCCCGCAGTGTGAGAGAGAAGAACCATCGGCTCAGTTTTGATCACGTGACGCTCGGCAAACAAAGCGTATACGTAATACTCGTATTGCAAATTTAATAAGATTTATTAAATTTTTGCTCGTCTTGCAAAACACTCGCAAACCAAGTTACTCGCAATCCAAGGTTTGACTATTTATATTTTTATTAATAGTAATGATAATTTGTTATCATTCTGATATTTCCTGCACACATACCACAGCAGTGAGGTTTGTGTTCATTTCTCTATTTTAAAAATTCAGAGAGCCAGCTCACATGGTTGCCAACTTTGGTCACCTAGCTGGAGTGAAATTTTCAATTCATGACAAGTCTGCACTCACAAACACACACACTTACTTGTATCTAACAGTTTCTTTACTTTGCAAATAATCTGTAGGGTGTGCAAACTGCCCCAACGCTCATCAAAAGCATCCATATTTGTATTTGAACTAAGTAGACGCTATGGACAGATGTCATTGCCTTGTCAAACAGTGGCTATGGTGCTTCTTCCACGTGTTGGTATAGAACATAAATTGTGGAAATGATTCCTTTGTTTTCACTCAGATAATGATCTTTGTTAAAATTATGCAGAATGTGAACCCTTAAGGTGGTTGTATAAAAATGATGTCCAGACAAAATGAAATTGAACACATCGGTGAGTACAGTCTGTCTCATACTTGCAATGCCACCATCTTGTTTGTTCTATGTTAAGCCACAACCGTAAGGGTGCACAATATGTTTAATGCAGCAGATCCACATTTTGTGCCGAGTGCATGAGTCATTCTAAGAATGGAGATATCTGCTCTTTTAAAATGGAAGTTACCATCTTTATTAACAGTAAGGCTGCCACTAACAACTATTTTTCTATGGAATAATCTATCGAATATTTTACCGATTTGGTCAATTTATTTAAACGATTCATTTTCCTCCAGAAAATCAAGTTGACCATTGAATCCGTTAACATTATTCTGACAACAAACTGTATGTCATTGCAGGGCTTTAGATAATGTAAATTCAGCGTGTCTTTATGCTTATTAAATTCAGTTAGCAGAGTGCGCCACATGCAGCTATTTTTGTGTACCGTGGAAGCCAAGGGTATAACTTTGGGTTGAGCATTGGGGGTGGGGCCTCCACCTATTTAGGGTTGTATTTTGTATTTGTTTTGGTTTTGACTACTGGGGAGGGGGGGTTACAACCGCCCCATCACCCTCATGCCTATGATTGAAGCAATAAGTACTGAAGTTGCGGTGAAGATAGGGACAGCTCAGCAACCACAACACACATTTTTTTTGGTAATTATAGTTTTCATTTATTTCAGTTCATGCATTATATTCTTTAATTTTGTTTGTTTTCATTTCAGTTTTAGCTTATGGTAACAACAATGGTCCCAACAAGCTCAAGGCACATGAACGCACAAACTGGCACTATCCGTCAACGTAGAATAAGCCCAGATTTTAGCCTAAACATTTTCAGCAATAATGATTTACTGGAAATTCCAAGGTAGCATGCAGCTTTATGGCTTTAATGGTGAGTGTATTTAGTAGCTACAATAGATATTAAAAAGCTTGCCATATTAATGGTAATTTTAATAAATATGAATAGACAATGCTTATGGTGGCTTTGCCTACTCTATTGGTCAGTCATCCAGAATAGCACATATGTGTTTTCTCTCCAGGCGCTTGTGCATAGCACTAGTGCCCTTGTATTATGTCATCGAAACTTTGCAGTGTAAAATCACCTTTTTTGTTTTGTGATCATTTTAATTATTCCCATAGTGATAGGAAACTACCCCCATAGGAAAACAAAAAGGTTCAACATTTTGTCATGATGAATTGAAGCATTTTACAAATAATCAAGGTGATTTTATTAAAATAGAAAAATTATGCATTGATTTAAAATATAGATGTCGACCCATTTTCAGCATTGCGGCAGCCTTAATTAACAGCCTCTGTTGGTTTAATAGGGAGGCCTGTCTGTGCCGCTGCTATGATATTCACCATTACACACTAACAAAACACACGCATTCCACATCAAACACTACATCGTTAAGACATTTACTATTAACAGAAAAGCCCAAATACAGATATTGATTTACACTGTTTAAAGTGTGATGCAAAGCATGCTGGTTACTGCATAATTAGTCTTGCTGATCAACCCCACAGCATCACATTAATATGTCAATTGAGGGCAGTGGGTGGGATCAGAACAAATGAAAATGTTTGCCTCAAGGGTCCTGCACAGGCAGTATGCCGAAATAGTGATCATCACAGTGATTACGGCTCATGCTGTGCCAAAATAATGTCTATTCTGTCAATTTCAGCTAATCATCAGTTGAAAGGAGCGTTGATGTGAGAAGGTGATTAGAAAGCTGATATACGAGAGGCTCAGAGAGAGTTTAAGCAAAAAAAAAAAATGCAGAGGGGGCACGAGGGAAATGGACAGACAGTTTTGGGAGGTTCCACTCTAAAGGAAGTGCTGAAAATTTTTTAAAGTACCCGCCAAAGTCATCTTCTGCAAGAGCATTAGGGAGGGATGGTTGGATAGAAAATTAAGGTAAAGATAGCAGCTGAAAAGTGTTGTCAAGTCAGATAAAATTCAGAAGGTAAGATGATGACTGATAATAGGCAAGGGGATGCTCATCTATCCATCATCTAGCTGCTTATTCTGGTCAGGGTCATGGGGGAACCTGGAGCTTATCCCAGGCAACACAGGGTACAAAGTTGGGGAACACCCCAGACATGATGGGGAATGCTAATGAGGAATCAAAAAGGAAACCCTCACCAGTAGGGCTGCAATGATTTATCAAGTATCTCGATTACAAAAAATCCTTGATGCAAATTCTTTGCTTTGGTGCTTCATTTAATTCACAAAACTACGTACTGCTCAGTGATCACCGTGTTTCACATGGAGGATTACTGTCGCACGATGTGCTTACGCTGCATTACGTATAGCAGGGTGGTAGAAAAAAAGAGTGACGACATATAGTGACCCATTGTAAAAAGTGCTAGAGAAATAGGCATGGTGATTAGTTCCAAATATTGACATTTACAGCATGGAATCACATTAATTTCCATTGCTTACCAAGTACTTTAAGCAGTATGTTGATAAATGTTTTTTTTTGTTGTTGTTTTAATACATTAGCTGTCAATAATATACTAAATATTACGTTGTTTTTATATATGCTCAACATTAGCTCTTAATGTTTATCATAACTAATACACTGCTCAAAAAAGGTAAAGGAACTTTGAAAACACATCAGATTTCAATGGGGAAAAAAATCATGTTGGATACCTATACTGATATGGATTGGGTAATGTGTTAGGAATGAAAGGATGCCACATCAATTGAGGGAAATGAAAATTGTCAACCTACAGAGGGCTGAATTCAAAGACACCCCGA